TGCAATTCCCCTCTGGGCCTTTTTTTTTTTTTTTACTTTTATGACTTTACATTAACTTTCAGATAGTAACTTCTGGATCTTTGTTGGAAGTATTTTGACATATAATACCTACAGTCAATATCTTGTTCCCTTTCAAGCTCTGCTGTGTAGATGGCACTCTTACTGTTGACTTCCCTTTGATATACAGCCTGGGAGTGTTAGCTAGCTGGTACTTCATATGGAGCATCACTTCTGTGTTGTATGTGTGTTTGCATGCTTCTTGTATCTTTATACAGAGTTGTAGGCGTGTTTGTTAACCTCCTCCTGTTCTTACTAAACTGTCCATCAGTGAATGTTTCTGGTAGTACTGAAAAGTTAAGTCCTTACTATGACAATTTAAGTGACAATTTATTTAGAAATAATTCTTGTTGATAACCTATATCAACATCCTCACTGAAGAAGGGAGTGAGTTTCTTCATAGGTCTTTACAATGGGTAACATAAAACATTATTCTATCTGCTATTACTTTATAAAAAGGAAAGCTTGCTCTTACAAGTCTGGTTCCTTCGTCTACTTGGTTTTTAGTTAATATGTTCTTTTGGTAACCTTTTTATCATTTCATGGGACTGTGTAAAGCAGTTCAGGAAAAGCAGGTTAATAGAAGAATATAGACTCTAAAGTGTTCTAAAAGATGTGGGTTTTGGTCCCAGTGGAGACTGACACTCCAGCCTACTTACTGTAGCTGGAATGTATTGATTTTCTTCTCCCCCATTTTAGCTGCACCACTGAATTAGGTATTGTGAGGCATCTTTCCCTGTGAAGAGAGGAAAAACTGTCATGAACTTTTTCACCCTAGCAGTACAGCATTTCAAACTAAACCCGATTGAATGGAAAAGTCTGTAAGGACTCTTAAAAACCTTGTAACGCAGCTCCCCACTCTCATTTCTTTCCTTCCAACAGCTGTTCCAGCAACCTTGAGAAGTATGATAGATGACTGTAAGAAATTAATTTTTAAATCTTTTTTCATTAAAAACAGCAACAATAATAATAATAAAAATCTGTGAAAACGATGCCTTCCTGTGGCATGATCTCCTAAGGTTAGCCAAGTGGTCTTGTTCAGGTTTTCAGCAGATGTTCAGTTACTGTTATAATTGGCTGATGAGTAGGTTTGGACCTAACTAGAATGCCAGTGTTCGATTTCACAGTGTCCTCTGTGAAGATATGTCACCATTTACCCTGGCTTTAGTGACAATTTTCTAAAAAGGAAACTCGTGGGAAATCATTATGCTGTTTATATGTCTCCCTTGTTGGAGAGCATTATCCTGTGATATTTTAGCACTGTTTTCCACTGCATGATGGCATCTAGCTAAGGTTAAGGCAGAACAAGTCCCTTTGCAATTTTGTGACTATATTTTACTTGCTGAAGGAGAAAAGATAACCGACAATTAAGTATTTCAGATGTCACTGAAGAACATGTGCAACTAATCAATGACATCCTTAGGGAACATGATTTTATGAAACTGATAAGGTAGAAAAATTGGGATTTTTGTGATTTGTGTTACATAATAATAATTGCACCCTTTTGATGAAAAAGACATTTCTGCTGATGTAAACATCAGGGTCTCCCTTGTGGTGTTTTTTTTTTTTTTTCCTGAAGCACGGAGTAGTTCATTAAAATGTGACAGTAACAGATAAACACCCTTTATGATTTTCTAAGAAAATATGGCGCTTATACTCTTAGTTCAGCTGAAATCAATGAGTTTGAAAAATGTAGTTCTGGAGTCACTTCCCAAATCACTTGCCAGAGGTTGTGTTAGGTGTTTTAGTTTGGGGGTTTTTTTATTTACTTTAGGAAGGAAATACACATGCTGTTTTTTTCTCTTAAATTAGTCTGCTCAGCACTCTGAGGCCCATATTTGAAACTCATTGCTATGATCTTGATAGAATTCAGATGAATTAAAAATTCACATTACTAACAACCTAATTGTGAGGGTTTATTTTTTGGAAAATATATATCTTTATGTTTCTGATTGCAGAGCAAACAAAGTAGCAGTCATGTTTACAAGCCAGTGTCATATATTCACTTGAATGAAGGCTATGGTTGAGGATGTTACATCACAAATTATAGATAGTGGTTTAGAGACTATACCTGCTGGTTCCTTTTCTGCTCAGCTATTATTTAAAGATCATCAAGTTTGCAAAATACGTATTTCTTACAAGTTTCAGTTAGAAATCTGTTGTGCTATGGGTTGTTCCAGGTAAATTAAGCCGATTATGATAACATTTATTTCTGATATAAGAGTATTTTTTTAACTTGAATAGAAAGTTGAGAATGCTTACATTTTTCTCTGGACATCCACTTTGGGCCACGACCAGAGGTAGGAAATGCAGCTCGACAGACACATCTAATCCAGTGTGGCTGGCTTTTTTTTGTGGTTTTTCCCAGGTTTTATTTTCCTCTTTTCCTTTCATTTTACCATGTATATTAAACAAATGGATTATGTGCTGGTCTTTTTTTGTATCAAAGCCAATGAAGTCAAGCCAGAAGATAATTTGCCCCCTTATTAGTATAATTAACTTGTACCTTCATTTATTTTTTAATTCCTTAAAATGTACATCACATTGCATCAGTTGAAAAATCCTCCTTTGCTCAATGCAGTTATTCCTCCCTTCATAAAATTCTGGAAATGACAAAATTCCCAATCAACAGAGGCAGCATCCAAAATACCGTGCAGTGCAAAATTGCCTTTCCTTTTCTGCAAATTCTACATTTTCAAGTTTATTGATCACCAAAGCAGAGTTACTGACAATTAACAAACTATATGGATTAACAGACAACAACAGATGCTATTTGCTTACGTCTTTTTGTGAAATACATTTGGTCAGGGCAGGGTTAGCAGGGCTTGGAGTGACTTGATGCATGTCGTGAAAAAAAACCTAAAAGAAATAGAATGAGATATTAATCTGGAGTGAGTGGAAGTAGAAGCAAATAGGTTTGTAAGAGCTGTAGGGAGGTTGATGTATGCTTCTCTTCTTCCCTGACAATCACTGTTTTGTTCAGGACCCTCAGCAGGCAGCTCAACTTTTGGAAAAAGCTGTCAGGAGGTGTAAGGATGAGGTTGCACATAAGCATTGGATGCCCTTAAACATCTTTATACAACTTTTTGCAGTTCTTCATTGCATATAATTAGTGAGATGGTTTTATTTGAGCAAATCATACGCATTGTTATGCAATTCACACACCCTCTGAATATGCATCCAGCTCCAGCCCTCCTTCTGTGCATAACCTGAATGCAGAACAGGATAAATTTTGCAGCAGTAGAGTGCTGATTTTGCAGTATGCAAATGAAGTGGCATTTTTTAATGCAGCATCTTCATATAGAGGTGAATTGAAAGGCTTAACACTTGCCAATGTTTCAGACCTCCCTGTTTGTTACATCCATTAAAATCTAGAACAGAAAAGTTCAAAAGCTGCATTTTTCCCTGTTCCTTTTTTTCAAACTTGTTAGTGATGGCCTGAGCTGTTGAAGAAATGTAGACTCTGAATTCAGATTTGCAAATGTAACAAAAAAAGAACCAGTTCTCAATTATCTTTGTTTTCAAATCTGTTTCTGCCTTTACGTATATGCACATCTTATGTAATTTTTACACTAATTGGGTTTCATTACACAACTAACCATTTGCTATAAAACCTGCTATAAAATCTAGATGACCTCTAGATGTCTCTTCCAACCTATTTTTTTCTGTGATCCTTTTATCCTCTACATACCATCGTGTCTCCCTAGTGATATTGTAATGTAAAAGAATACACACGCAGGAATAAGTTACCTCCTGAATGTAAAGAGAGAAATGTTTCTTCCCATCAGCAGTCTTGTTTCTTCTCTAGGTTTTGTTTCTCCTAGCATAGGGTGTGAAAATGAACAGGGTGAATGTGGATAGCTTTACTTGTACAAGTCATTTTATTTATAAATCTAGTGAAGTTTCTTCCATGCATACGTTCACTCCGAATCCCAGCCTTCATGAAGCTCTTTAAGGAAGAGCTTGTGGCTTTCATTTGCCTGTGAAGTACATGTGTTATCAGAATGTATGGCAGCGTGAACAGTAAATAAATAGGGGCTTAATCTTTCAGGTGAGAGATTGGTTGAATGCATGAACTGTTTTGTTTGTCTTGTGAAAATTAAAGATCAACGATTATTTTTGGTCTGCTTCTATGAAAATGTCAGAGATCTAGTGTTTCCTTTAAAAGTCATTCTTTCCTGATGAACATGCACCTAAGCATCTCATTTATTTGCTACATATTTTTAAGTGTACTTGTAATTAATTTACTGAAAACTCAATCATCTTATCAGTGCAGAAACAAAGGAGGATGGAGTCCGGCCATTATGTCATTGCAGTGGAAGAATGTGGCAGGGGGGGGCAGAGGCTCCTTTGTCCGAACGTTTGTCTTTGGGGTCACCGAACCTTTGGTCAGAGCTTTGTCCTTAGGAGTCACAGAGCAGATATAAGGAGTACGTTGTAAGCTGATCTGTCAAGCCAAGCGAAGAGTTTCCCTTGTTAGCATTTACCAAGGCATGCATTAATAAAATTGCACAAAGTGGAGACTTCCTTTTTCCACTGATGTGCCAGACAGGAGTCTTCTCTGAGGTGAACCTGAAAGCACTGAGCCGTAGCTGCTTTATTTTATGTTTTAAATAAACAGAATTTTATTCACAAATGAGTGTGCCAATAACTTAGTTCCAGAATCAGACATCTCTACTTGAGAGGCATCTAGCCTGGCACCAGTGATGGCAGGTGAAAAAGAATGTGGTAGCATAAGCTGAATGTATTTATATGTGATTCATTAAGAACTGTGGTTTTCCTATTGAAAGGAAGCACTCCAAAACAGGTGTAAAAAAAATGGAGAAGAATTGAAAAGTGTTGCAAGTGGGAAATGTTTTGGTAGCTTGAACAAAAGTGTGAAATATCTAAAATACTAAAAAATCTTGGGTTTCTATTGTGCCTTTGTTTTTTTTTTTTTACAGACAGTCATTTTAGAAAATGAAGAGCTCCCTAAAATATTTCTGGATTTCCTGAACGTTCGCCATGTACCCACCTTGCCAAAAGCAGAAAGCTGTGGGTAAGCTCTCATTACTGAAAAATACATGGAGGCCAAAAGGCCCATATCCACTCAGTGCTGATGCAATTCCATTGACTTTAAATGGTCCTGAGGCCAACTCTAACACTGTAAAATAAATGAGCATTAGGTTCATGTTAAGTATGTTTATATATCCCCAAAAGGTGGTAAAATAAATCCAGCCTGTTCAAAGACAGAAGTGAGGTTTAATGTAATATTCTTGGAAAGCAAAGGAGAGTTTAGATGAGAAAAATGTGATTTTCTCATAGATCTTGAAGTATCTACTGAAATTAATTTCGTAAGATATGCATGAACTATCACTAAAGTTGCATAGAAAGCCTTTGCGTGTGTTTTATGGTCATAGTAACTGGACAAAATAGAAGTTCATTCTGTGATCATTTTATGATCTCCCTCTGTGTGTTTGAAAATGGGGTCTTTCACCTTTCTGATAACAACTACCCCAATGGCCCCATTGCCCTTCCTCTGGGAAGGCTTCTTGATCAGGGTGAGAGAAGGGAATCTTAGGATTATTATGAGTGTAATGACTACAGAAGTACCCAAAACAGTGTAACTGGAAACTCTGCTACCATCTGCTACCCTCTCTAAGGTTTGTAGGGAGAATAATTTCTTTTGCTGTGCAAGCTGACATAGTTGCAAAATCCAGCAACGTTACCAGAACTTGCTCCCCAGAAAGCTGTGCGGCCCTTTTCCACTTCGAGGGAGGCTATGTGGATCTGCAGTGGAGAGAAGGCGAATTGAAAAAAGTGGAAATAATTTTGAGGCCCTCTTACACTCGGAGGTGTCTATGGCCCAGCGCGGTCCCCAGAGTGATTCAGAAGCTAACAAACTTGTAGTTTTCACTTGTAGTTACTGACATCAGCTAATACCCTCAGTGGGACTGTACCCCATCACTTCATAGATACATAGATAGATATGCACGTGAATCTGTTAGAGTAAAATGGATGCTGTCATTTCCAAGTAGTGGTTGTTCTAAAATGATTCTATCATCTCCCACATTCATTTCATCACACTGCATTATGCAGCTACTGACCAGAAAAAGGTTGCTCCCTTTGATGGTTCTTAAAGGATTTGTTTTTTTTTTATTGTAGAGTTAATTTTGTTTTAACCAAAGTTTCCTCTCACTTTACTTGCAGCTCTTTTGATGAAACAGAATCTGAAGAATCAAGGTGAGCTTGATTGCTACTCTTTCTAGGACACCAGATTAATAAACTACTTGAAATTATTGACGTTTACTGTATTTGTTCCTTGAAGTTGACAAAATAGCAGTAGTTTAGCATTAGAATTAGATGTGTTTGTTAAATATGGCAAGTTTCACCAGCTGTGCTAGCTCCATCCATTTGTAGTGTGAATTGAGCATCCTTATGCTTGTATCGAGAAGTTCCTTACAAAACCCTAATAGAATTACTGCTAGCTCTGAAATATTTCTGGGAATGTTTTTTACCCACTGAAGTGTATTATTCGTAGCAAGAAGATTTAGCAGAAGGAATTAGAGGTTTGGGTTCTCCCCTATGATTCTATGATTCTGTGTGTTTGACAGAGCTCTGTATGTATCTGGTTGCACTACTTGGCACGTGTACGTACAGAGCAGAGCCGAGAGGGCTGGCGCTGGCTGGGGGAGAATGTCTGTACCATGACCAGGGTGGGATACATCCCTGTGAGGGGCTTCCAAGGACTTTCTCCCCATGGGTGAGGTGTACAGCAGCCACTTTAGGGGCTGGAAGAACATGGTGAAATTTTGAGTGTCTTTTGTGGCCTGAAGAGCCTGTAGACCATGGAGCCTGGTTGTAGGTGATCTTGTAGCCTGCATTACACCACGTACCAGGGGGCAGAGCAGGATCAGGACGTCTCAAAGCCAGCCGCATGCCGCCCGTCCTGAATGCAGCCCCTTCACTTCTAGCTTCACATTGACGGTTTCACTGTGTGGCTGAGGAGCAACGAGCTTTGCTCCCAGGAGATGGATCCTGCCCTTTTTGGGCAGCACTGGTGTGCAGAAACACACCGGCCTGGCTCCTGCGCGGCTCGACCATCTTACTTTATCAAAGCTAGTTTGTAGAATATTCTGTTTGCTCTCCCTTGATACTGACATCCCTGTTCTTGACCTTTCCAGCAAACTGTCCCACCAGCCTGTGCTGCTGTTCCTAAGGGATCCATATGTCTTGCCTAAAGCCAACGGTAATCAAACCTGTCATCTGTTAACAGCGCTTTACTGATCTTGCCCTGCACCACATAAACCACACTATTATTAATACCGGCCTAGTCAAATGACACTGGTCCAAAATCTAATAACCTGCCAATAAAACAATAGTTCTTGTGTAAGAAACCATTAAAACACTAAGTGGGCTGGGTGATTTATAAAAGGGTGGAATTTTCTCCCCCAGTTGTTCTCTCAGACAAACCTACCGAGAATTCAAATCAAAAGACAGAAGAACATTGCCTTTCTTTTCTTGTTGACCCTTTGGGCTGTTTTGCCTGAAGGATTTGAACTTAGAGGCCCAGTCCTTCATAAGTGCTTTTCCCCTAAATATCAGTCGATCTACTGTGAGCGTGTTTGTATTTCCATTTGGATTATAACGGTTTCTTATCGTTTATAACCTCTAGAGCTCTTTATGGAAAAAAAAAAAAAAGAATGTATACTTTTAAGTATAACTGATGTTTCACGAGACCTTTACATTAGCCTTCATCTCTTAATACATGGTTCAAAAGAGTATTTGAAATAGCTTGTTTATAAACTCTTTTTCTTTTTTTTTATAAAAAGTTGTTTGCATTATTAATTCAGAGAAGTTACCCTCTGTCTTACATTAAATGTGTGCAGGGAAAAAAGTACCTTTTGTAGTAGTGTGTTCCTCCTGGTTCTGTCATTTTACTTGTTTGAACAGTTACTTCCACTAAATTTTGTACTAAAAATGTAATACAATTTCAAGAAAGAATTTTCTCTCAGAGCTGCAAATTCATATTTTTTTTTAATGTGGCATTTTTGTTTGATTTTACAAAATACTGTGTTGACATGAAGAGTCAGGTTCTTGAGCTGCCTTGAAAATCATGAAATTTTTAAGAGTAAATTTAGGAAAGAGCACTTCTTTGCTTGTAGTTTCTTAGCCAATGAAGTGTACTTCCTTGCAGTTTTCTCAAGATATACATAAATACCTGAAGGGAGGGTGTAAAGAAGACAAAGACAGCCAGGCTCTTTTTAGTGGTGCCCAGTGGCAGGACAAGAACATCAGGAACATCAGGACACACTTTGTCACTGTGAGGGTGACGGAGCACTGGCACAGGTTGCCCAGAATGGTGGTGGAATCTCCATCCTTGCAGACACTCAGAAGCCATCTGGACATTGTCCTGGGCAACTGGCTCTAGGTGTCCATGCTTGAGCAGGGGGTTGTACCAGATGACCACCAGTCATTTCTTCCAGCTGCAACCGTTCTGTGATTCTGTTGTTTTTTCAAGCTGTTTTTCAAAACCATAGGCACTAGACTTATGTATTTTGAGCGGGTTAAATAGTCTCTCTTGCAGGCAATGTCCCCTCTAGCTAGTAGCGTGGCCCAACAGTATTGACCCTATGGAGTCTTACTGAACTTAAAGTTGTAATTCTACAGTGAAACAGCGAGTGCAGAGGTCCTGTGTGACCAAGGTCCACATTGGAAGACACATTACAGGGTCGTTTAGTTCTTACTTTGACTTGGCACTAGTCTGGTCATGTGGACTGAATGCCCATTTGCGGCTGGAGTGCAAAGCACAAAATCGAAGAACCGAAGCACAGTAAGGGGAGATGGTCACCTCACAAGGTCACTCCTGACCCAAGTGACAACAGTAATGCAGAGGCACCCACAGAGTTATCTCTGTCTAAAAGTTGGTCCAGATGCTACTACCTATACTAATATTTAGAGTAAGCCACATTGCGTGTCTTAATCTTACTGTTTAATGCTCTTCTTAATTGCAAACTTGGATTCCTTGAGAGCAGGGTGTAAATTATGAACCTCATTTAATTCCATGCCATTCCTGAGAGAGAAAATGGATTTCATACAGTTATCCTGAAAAATGAAGATGGTGCTTAATGTTTCCAGCCCACATGTAAGGTTTTGCTCTAAGACTTCTATTCAAGATTTTGCAGTTTTGTGATGGTATTTATCTTCCTTCCATAATGTGTACTCCGAGTAAGGCTAGCTTCCTTTTCTTGAAATCATTAGGAACTGTATAATGAGTTTTGCAACTACTCTTTTAAGTAGTGCTTTACTTGGATTAAGATAAAAGCCTCTTCTAATGTGTGACATGTTTAAATATTAAGTAGGCCTGATTAACGACATCTGAAACAAAGGACTTTACAGGCTTTTGCCAAGGCATTTTTTGGCCTTGACAGACAATATTTAGAATTTCATATGGCAGGTGAATATTCTTTGTATTTGAAGACCCTAAAACATCAAATTCATTTGCACGTTATTCTTTAACTTAATGAATTAAAACACAAATCAGAATGTGAGTTGTAGTTTAAAAAAGGAAGCAGAAAACCAAGTTGTAAGTCTAGAGGCTCTACTAGTTGACTCAAGCCTAGTTAGAAAGAAACAAAGTTTTTACACAACTACTATTGCCTTTAATTCTTCTTCTTTGTTTTTAGTTTACAGCACAGAGAACACGTAGATGAGCTTTCTAAAATTTTCTCTCTCAGGTCACTTCTTACTTTGACAGATTCCAATTCGTTTGTAAAAAGCAGCCAAGGCTGTTCAAACTATGACCAAAAGTTAAGTGTCCATTAGCAAATAACTATTCATTGTATGTACTCTTTGAAGAAGGTGAACTATGACAGTTGTTTGGATCAGAAGTGGAGTCAGTCTTTCCTGGATACAGGAAACGTCTTCCCATAAAACAGGAAATTGTGTATTTGTGGGGTTTTAATGAAATAAATAGTTGTTTCGGGAACACAATACTCAAAGAACCATTTTTTTTCCCCCTCATTGCACTGTCTTTATGACATATAGTCTTGCCATTATTCCAGTGGCTGGACTTTAAGCGTTGTTGCGTTGCAAGACAACTTTCCAAAAATAAGATTCAAAGTTGCAAACCTCATTGATTTTCAGACTTCCTTTTTCATGCTGTATCTAACACAGTCTGAGTGCACGAGCACATCACTTTTTGTGTAAGGTGGATGCTTCTTTTTGAGGACGTGGGAAAAAAATTATGTACTATTTTGAAGAAAAATGAAGGAAAAAATCTAAAAATGCTGCAAATTTAAAATTAAGAAGCTAAAAAAATGGAACCTCAGATTTATTGTTACTTGTTTGAAAATTGTTCTGACAATTCTTTAAGCCATGTAAGTATCACAGATCAGCAAGACTGTGCTTCGGTGTATTTATACATTTAACTTAAATTAATATGCTTGATTTTTTTTAAGCAACCAAGCCTCGCAGTAAATCTGATGCTGTAAAGTTGCATCATTTTTTTAATCAATACTCATTTTCCTATATATACTGTATGTTATAGAAGAACCAGTAAAAACTGGTTTCTGGAACAGCAGCATTTAATTTAGAAGGAAAGCATCAGATTGTCCTTACAAGTGTATTTTTAATAACATTAATGACAACAGCATAGGGTTATTCTACCAGGGTGATTTGGGATAGCTGAGCTTGCAGGACTTGAGGAATCATTATTGGATTCAAAATATTAACAAGTAATTTATAATGATGACTTACTATGAGAAGCTGGGGAGAATTATGCATGTATTGTTTATGGTGGAGGTTGCAGTTCATTAAAACATCCCAAAATATCTCTGTTTAGAACACCTTTAATACACTGGAATCACCTTATTAATACCTATGAGATAACACCTTTAAGCTAATAAGGATTTTTTTTTTCTTACCGAGCCCAAATCTACTTTTTGCTCAATATTTTTACCTCCAAAATTATTTTAGCAGAAGAATTAGGGGCAAAACCTAATTCTCACCCACATTAGGTGATCTAATTTATCAAGTATTTAATGATTTTTTTAAAAGTTGCATCTGCCCTTTTTGAATATTCTGTAGGCTTATAGGTGAAGGAAAGATTTGATTAGTGTGGAAAGTTCTGTATTAGAAATAGTCTGTTCTTCTAGGCAAACCCATTTCCTAGTGTACTAGCAATTTTAAGATCGTAAGATGTGATCAGAAATTCCTACTCTTAGTGCCCAGTGATTTAAGTAAACACTTCATTAAAAATGCAGGAGTTGGTGCATTTGAAAAATATTTTCACTTCATTAATGTACATCCTGCCATTCCTCTGTGTGGATCTCTTAGTATGTTCTATCAGGCGATTCTTTCATGCTGAATTTAACATGAAAATTAAGTTCTAGTTTCCTCTACATCTGTGGTAAGAACATAGTGGGGGGGTTTCCTTCAGATATTACAGGATGACTTTTTGTAACATGTGACATTTTATGTTGATTAGAGAGCCTGAAATTTTCCTGCCTCAAATAATCATCTCTGATTGTATAGGCATCCTCAAGTCTTCTCAGGCTAAACATTGCTGTAAACCACAATGGAAAAACAGCTTTGAAGTATTCCCAGTAGCAATCTTGGAATTCCTTCAAGTATATTGAGATTTTGTTAGAAATTGAATTGCCAGTGTAATCCATCTTCCTTGTGAGAAAAGATTCAGATAAAGAGCTGGAGCCTAGCAGCATTAAGTATTAGAACATCCCTTTAAATCAATAAGCTACAAATCTGGCAGCGCATTCATGCAATGCCCAGTGCTACACTAAAGTGGCTTTAGTGCTGAAACAGCATTACTAATAGCACATCCCCAACACGGATAAACAGTTGAGTGATGCAGTAACCCAAATTATACGAGGCCTTACCTAGTTAAGTTTCACAAAAACATTTATATTGTACTGACATAGAAAAGAAAGCAAGGTTTTTTCTTATTTTTTCTTTTTTTTCAGATGACTTTCCAAACGTAGTTATAGAAGGCATTCTACGTGGAATATTTTATCCTCATTTACTGCCCAGGTAGAAGTGATGCGTGGGTAGAAGAAGCTGAAGCAAGTGTCTGCGTCATGTTTAATGGAATTAACAGGAATAAAATTCTGTGATGTGAAAATTACGCTCAGAAGCAAGAGGCACAACCTCAGTTTAAGTTCAAGCGTTATATCCTTTTAAATAAAATCAATGTCACTACGACTGCTGCTTTTAAAAAAAGAAGATATGGAAACAACAGTATTGAAGTTATTTATACCTTCTATATATTGACATGTTCTAACTATTTAACACTAAAAGCTGAAAGTCATACACTGAATTACACTAACCTTTGAAAATAATCAAAAGCTCTACTAATTATTTCTATAATTTCTATCATAAATTACACTAAATCTTTTTGCACCCGGATTTTTCCCAGCACATTACCCATTGCTGGCAGTGGATGGATTAAAAGTGCTGGCACTGAAGAGAGTGTGTGAGAAATTGCCAAAAGCCAAAAAAAGTTAAAGCAAGAAGAAACTGAAAGCAACTTAAAAGTATTTTGTTCATTTTTCTTAAATTATTTTGAACCTGCTCCTTATTATCAGGTTGGAAAAGAGCCAGTGCAGGTGTATGGAGCGTTTCTATTGGAAAACATGCTTCCACATTCTGAAATACATAGCTGTCTCTCAGGAAATTTTCTAGATTTCAGTTGAAATTATTTTATCTACCAGGAGATTTTACATGGCATTTACGCATCTCCATTCAGGTATGACATCTAATCTGTGTGTATGTTTACTCTTCATGTCAACTTGCAGACTGTATTCCATATCTTAGCATTTTATAAGTCACAGAGCATACAACTCTGTGGTAAGCTAAGGCAAGAATAGGATTAAGTAGTAAAATGATAACACTAAAACTGAGATAGACAGATATCTATATATACTTATATATATATATATTTGTTCAGATTGAACTGGAAATTTGTATGTGTGCTACTGGACATTACAAAATAAAATACTAGAACATAAATCTACTGCTTCAGTGTTTTTTTTGTGCTTTTCCATTCAAACAAGACATTTCTCTGATCTTATACCATCAGAGATGGGTCTCTCAGATAGCTCTACATGAAGCATGAGAAAATACCTGGGTGTCCGCTCATTTAAAACCCTCAGCACTATGCCATCTGAACATGCTAGGCTTATAAAAGTGTATGTCTTGGGGGAAAAAATTAAGTGTAATTGAACAGCCAGTAAGTCATCAGGCTCATCAGAGGAAGGGAGTGTTGCACAAAAGCAGTAATGGCAAAGCTAGACATGAACAGGAGTCTGATCCTGGAGACGCATGGGTTGCCTTCTGCTGACTACTAAATCTGCTTTAAAGCTGCTTGGGGATGGTGAAAAGCCGGAGCTTGTATAAAGGGCAGGCCTGTGACTGCAGCACTTGTTCAGGTAGCAGAACTCTCTATGCTGTCTGCTGGATCACCCTCCCAGAAAGCTTTCAGCTACTCATGGAAAGCTATTTGGGCAAGAGAGTCTGAGGCATTCTTGCTCTTACTTCCTAACACTGCTTCCCAGTGCTGCTTTTCAGAGAATTTTACTTAGTAGAAAGAAAAATGAAGGGGAGTAAAATGGAAGTCTGATTGTCTAGTACTAGGCAAATTTAGAGGCCCTCGACAAGTTCTCTTCTAGCTCTCTTTCAAATAGGACAGTAATCCTTTCACAGGTCTCTGGAAAAAAGTGTCAGTATTTACCCTCAGGAGAGGCCCCAGGACTGTGGATGGTGAACCAGCAGAAGCACCCCTGCAACTACAAAAGATGTGTCAGGAGGACCCGAGGTAAATCCCTGCCACAGCATTTTCCCGTTTCCTTGCGAGGGGGGTGCCAGCAAGCACCTACAAGCTCTGTGCTGTAGTACTCGCTCTTCCCCTGCACCACTCCAAGTCTGGATACCTCGCGTGGGCTCCAGGACACCGTTCAGGAAACTAGGCACTACAAAGAGAAGTGGTGTGCTGCCTGCTGTGTGGCTGGATGAATCCTTCATCAGATCTTGGCATCAGCTCTTCTATCTTCAGTTCTGAAACACTGGAAACTCAAGAGAAAAAAATCTGCATCTCTTTCCTGTGGAGCAATATGTAACTCATTGAAGAACCCAACAAACACAGCTGTCTCTAAGTGGTAACTTACACTGACCTTGTTTAAAAGCTACCGGTTAAGCTGTCAGCTTAAGAGTTATTTAAGAAGCATTACAAGAATAATGAATCTAAAGTTGCATCCCTGACATATAGCAATACTGCAAGAAAAAGCATTTGAGCTTTATCATAAACAACATTAGCTAGGTGTTATAAAATTCACTCTGCTGTAAAACAAGGACTCTTTGTTTTAATCAGTTTCTAACGATCTTATTTAACAATAGACAGAGCTGCTCTTTCTGGATTACAGGATTGTATCTGAATACTGTGGTTTTTTGAAAGACACCAGGGACTTTATCTGACATGTTAAGATTAGAGAAATTTACCATCCCTGCTCTCACCTTACAACTTCAGTTCCTAGAAAGCAGCACGCCCTGAGTATTTTGCAGAATCAGCTGAGGTGAGAAAAAAGGCCTTGGGGAGCGGGGAATAAAAAAAACCTCTTTATTAAGCATTTACTTGAAATCAAAGTTTATTTATTCAAAACACTTCTGTATTTTACTTTTTTTTCATTTTTAAAAATGTTGATACTGTTACAGAGAAGAATAAAGAAAAATATTTTCAGTCGAAAAGGCGGAAACAAATATTGCAAAAATTTCCAAAGAGAACAAAATGACTGCATTTCAACCCTTGAAAAAATAGAAGTACTTTAAAACTTTTCATGAAAGACTTTTTCTGCAAGATCTAGGATTTAGTCGGCTATGACTTGAATTTCAAGGAGTGACAGTTCCATCAAGCTGTTACAGAAATGGTCGTATCGTCTATGTAGTTAGCAAATGGTAAGTATTGTGTAAATATAGCCTCATATGTTTTGAGGAGAAAACTCAATGGATAGTTGAGATCGGTCAAAAACAAGCCTTAAAGAAAAGTGATTAAGTTTTACTTTCCATTCTGGCTGTTGGTTTCACCAGTCACCTACTTCAACTACAAATGGTTCTTTTACAGCTATTTTGCCACTGTTCACAATCACACAGTCTTGAAGGGGCCGGTCATGTTCATCTGTCTGCTGGAGTTCTATAGAGTGCACCACAGACTGTTAAAAAAAAAAAAAAAGGAAAACGAAAAAAAAGAGTTCAGTTTATCCAAGGAAACTCCAGTGACTCAAGTCTGGTACCAGGTAAACAACTAAGTGCTCCTAGCATTATTATTTATTAGGCAACTTCTGAAATAAAGACCTTTACCCTGCTGAGTTCCCACATGCTTTTTTTTTTTTCACACGTTAACAGTTGTGCCACTCTGCAACCCACACACAGTTGACAGAAGCACATGGAAGGCTGTTTGCCCTTCTATAAAAACTTCAGCCAACAAAAATATTTTGAAGGGGCAACTGAAAATATCCTTTCAGCTGATCAACCTAGCCCATACAGGGTCTATCTGTAGCCTATGAGCAGAAAGTGACTCCAGAGATCATAAAGAATGAGCAGTACTTATTTTTCTATTTGTACAGCGTAACTGTGCTTCTAGAAATCTAATGACTGCTTTTACCTGTAGTATAGCACACACAGACACAGACACACACACAGATTTTAAGGGTGGTACCATGCCCTCCAGTCAGACAGGTACAGGTAAACTACCAGCCTCACACTAGGCAACTAATTAAAGTAGTACTTTTAAAGGACAAAATTCAGTTAGGAATATTTACTACCTGGCTTTGGATATTTGTCCATTAATCTAATTAAACTAAAACTTAGTCTAAGTCTGTCCTCAAAAATTTTCAGCTACTACTGTAGCTCATAAGAATTGAATTCAATATGAATGTGGGAGTGAGGGGCAAGTGTTCTGATGAGGTTTTCAAACTCCTCAAAGAACTGGTCAGTGCAGCAGTTCCTGTTTCCCCCATTCATTTCAAAACACGAATTAAATGGAATAATTCAAAAGGAAAACCAGACTACTAAAAGTATAATCAGTTGGAAGTCCCATTTTTAAACTTAAACTCTATTTGGCCTTTGATCAGTTTTGCAGCTGTGTACAGTTTGAGAGAATTAAGTAGATTATTTTTTTTTTAAACAGTTCTGAATATATGTGTTTGTATACTTTACATTCACATGCTTCTAAAAACCCTAATAGTGAAAGTGTTATCCATAACTAGCACATGCTACAAAATTACATTTTAGCTTGTAGAAATACAATTATTTCATGGCTAACAGCGTTAGTGAAACGGGGACCTGAACTTATTCCATTTGTAATCTGCAAAGGTGTCAGTGTTGATTTCAGTGGTTAGTGGTCCGAAACAAGAGCTGTGAAAGCCAAAGGCATGATTTAAGTTTCCATTTCTGCAGTCACCATTTGCTATTTCAGTTCTAAATCATCCAGCTCCAGGCTCTTCACAATTGTTTTCTACCATGTACGTATTAGATAAGCACTCAATTGTTTTGAGCCACAATGGTGTAAATTACGCTAACACAGATGTAACGTGCCAGAATTTGTCCAGATTTTCTTGCATGTATCTTGCCACTACTTGTAGCTTACCATTCCATCAAGGACTTTGCCAAATACTACATGTTTTCCATCTAACCAGGAAGGCTTTGTCACACTGATGAAGAACTGGGATCCGTTGGTGTCTGGGCCAGAATTAGCCATGCTAACCCATCCAATTCCATAGTGTTTGAGCTTGAAGTTCTCATCTGGAAACCTTTCTCCATAGATGCTTCTTCCTACGACACAATATAAGAAAGCAAACTTTAAAAAAAAAAATCAAATGAAAACAAACCCTTTTTGTTCAAAAATGGGAAAAACAAAGTATAAGTTCAGGACTTCAAGATTCATTGAGTAAGCACAGCACCATCACTGTTCCATCATCAGTGATTCCATAACTAAAAGCATTTTGTGTGTAAAGAAAAAGAAAAGCTAAAACACCACATATAAGAAGAGAATATTTAAAGCTGATGATGCTTTATCCTTTGAACTTAACAAGCAAGCTGAGTACCTTCAAAAGTCCTGCTTACATCCAGCACTGAAAAATAGTATACTTCACCCTGTTCAACAAATTTAAATTACATAATTATGGCTGCTAAAAATAAGGCCGCCATGTTTTGTGACAATTTTAGTCTTCACTTTTACAACTTTTCCTCCTAATAAGAAATTGCTTTAGACATGTTTAGAAATATATGAAGACCAATGGAAGTTAGCTTAAAAGAGTCCGTGTGGATTTGTACAATCATTACATAAGGATTTTTCTAAAATAGTTCAGATGAGAAAACATGTGAGTCCTGTTTAAACCACCATCACTGTGAAAAAAAAAAAGGCTGCCTGTCTCATTTTTATTTGTACAGTGCCTAGCACAATGGGGGCACTGGTCCCAGCACTGCCAGATACTACCCCAATAAACAGTATTAGCAGCCAAACAAACACTGCCTACCTTTAATGCTAAAACTGCGTCTTTGGTATTTTAGCCTTTCCCATTGTTCGCTGCAAGGAAAAGGAACGTGTGTTTTCCATTCTGTTCCAGCAGGGAAATCACTAACACTGTATGCAGGCAGTTCAAATTGTAGCACGTGAACAATGTGCGTGTAAAGGAAGAGAAGAAATCAGAAGCCAGAATGCATGCAATGCAAGAGATGCTGCACTGGGATTGCCCTCCTTAGTGGACTGAACTGGTCTTCTGGAGGCTCAGGAGGGAGAAGTGATAGACACAGCCAGAACTCACACCATCAGTAAGTTTATGGTTTTAATTTAGTAAGAGAAAAAAGAGGAGAGGGCGTGACCCTCATTTTCTAATTCCTCTACCCCTGTTTTGAAATTCCCTCCCACAGCACATTTCAGAAGGTTCCACAGAACTGGCTGAGCTGAGGGCAGAGGGGACAGCCTACTCCTTCCCTACCTGCCTTCCCTCTACGCGCCTTCACTGTTTCATCACAGATTAGTTTTCTGCTGGATGACTTGAACTGGTTCACGTTTACATGCAATCAATGAGTGCCCCAGGGAAGGAGCGCTGTCGCAAAGCCAGAGCAGGGGAAGGGCAGAGACATCCATCTTTTGGAGACAGTAGGTTGTAGGAGCAGCTCAGCTGGTCACGTGGCTCCAGCCCACCACACAAAGCCATGCTTTTTGAGTGGGGACAAGTCACAGACAGAAAAGAGCTATCTGCAAAAATTGAGGACAAAGGAAGCTCTACACATACTTATAATCAGGTAATCCAAACAATTGCAGCTTATGTTCCAAGATGCTTGGAAAAGTACTAGATGCTCTAAAACAAACGTGTTTTTTTTTTCATTTATGTGAGCTGAAAGAATGAGGGAATATGCTGTTTTGCCCATGTTTTCAGCAGACATTCAAAGAAAGGAAAGGGAACCTGAAAGATACGAAGCATGTTACCTCCTGATCCATCTCCAGCTGTAAAGTCTCCTCCTTGAATCATGAAGTCTTTGATCACACGATGAAATTTACTTCCTTTTTATTCATTTCCTCTCTAAGAAAATGAAATAATTCTTTAAATGAATATAACCTCCAGTTCTATACAGTCATATGGAAATACGCATTTAGTGAATGGCCAGATTTCACAGACTATACCACCACCGGAGACAAATACTGGCAAGAAACAAATTAAACTGAGATGCAGGTGAATGCAGCTGGGCTGCACTGCCAGAAAGCAGGTATTTTTCAGGTGATCAAAGCCATTGTCTATTTGACTGGTGTCTGACCACAGTACCTCTACAGGCTAGATCTGCACAGCAGGGACAGATTGAGGTGGCGATATCCAACATCTCATAATTGCATCTTGTGAATCAAGCCCCACGGACCTGAGAAGACACACACCAGTGCACAGCCTTGGGGATGCCACCCTTGCACAGGCTCCACTGAATTAAGATCGACAGTTCACAACTGAAACAGCATTAAACAAATATTTACTTCCCAATCCAAACTTGAGTACATAGTGGAAGAAAACCGCAAACGTACTTCTCCAGTTGCCAGCACAATGAAGTTCTCCACAGTCTTTGGGACAACTTTTCCAAACAATCCAATTACAATTCTGCCAACATCTTTGTCTCCAATCTTCACATCAAAGAACACCTGAACATTTTCGTGAAGAGAACAAAAGCGATACAAACATGAGCGCAACAGAAAGGCCAAGCATTTGAAAGCATAAGGTGGTAAAAAACTGCTTCTGGCTGGTCTATATTAATAGTATCCTTCAATTCCTGAGGGTGCTGTTTAAGAAAAATCCTTTCAGAGCTACCAAAATTAGATCATACAGAAAACTGTCTGAGAACTGGTGACTATATATTTTGATTCTTATTGCTTTTAAGGGCTCAGTGAGACTGCTGTATCACAAGTTGAAAGGTAGTGTTCAAGAAGATTTTTCCAAGACATGCAGGTCTTCAAAGCTGTACGGAAAAGATGAAATATGAAAGTAAGGAAGAACAATGATGCTATTCCAACGTGGTGGAATAACAAGGAACCATAGTAGTGACACTACCCACAAACGACAGTTTGCTATCCACTCACAATCTTCACTGTTCTAGGCATTAGTATCTATGTGATTAAGTATAGGCGAAAGCCTAAATTTCATTAAATTGACAAACAGTGGGAAGAAAATCCTATGGCTCAAGCAAGGAGCTGCCTTCCTAAATATGAATTCAAACCTGACAGAGAAATAACCACGCTACATTATTCAGCTGATTGCCTAAAAGCTTCAATGTAGATGTTGCTAAAAAGTAACTTCAAAAAAGGCAAATGAGTTATAAAGCATTTTAATGTAGTTCAGAATATATGAATGCATATTTGAACGTGCAAAAATGTTCCAACAAGTACTGAAAATAGGAACAGCTGTCAGGAAATGAGCCATTTTGAAGTTCTGAAAAAGTTACATAAAGACTATTACAACTTCTAGGAAATGCAATGTGTATTCCTATGATGTGGTATTTGCTGTTCCTTGTGGCACTCAACCAAATATTACTTGTCTGCAATGCTAAGAAATTAGTCTAATAATGATAATAAATGGCCACAGTCTCTCCAATGTGAATGCCTCTTTCACGCTCTCCTACTAAACATTTCTACTGTTTCTTGATCTTCCGTGTGGTTTTGACTGTTGAACTCTTGGCTAACGCTATAAAAGTTCTATAAAGAAAATAAAATTCCTTTTGATACACCTCATTCATTTCCTTGGCACTTGGCGCTGAATAACATAGTTCTTAGATGTGTGGCTCCCAAAGTATTAACAGCACACTTTGACTAACTCCTTAACAGTTTTATAAATGTATCTCTCTGAATTTTGCTGCTAAGGTTATCTAGGTAAGGGTATTGACTGCCTACATTTTCTAAATGCACCTTATTCTGCTTGGAAATGTTGTCCTAGTAGAAGGACTGCCTGAAATACGTAAGCATATACAAGTGACACAACTGAGGCTACCAAACAATGACGCCAAATAGTAGTAACATCAAATGCTTTCACAGACCACATGGAGAGAAGTCCATGATACACTGTAAACCTAACCCAACCAGAAGGCTTCATTCATGGCAGAGCTGCTCACCTAAGCAGCAAACCCAGTACTTCCAAAAACCCTTGCTTCAGCTTATTCTGCATTTGTGAACAAACAGTTAAGTCCCTGGCTTCCTGTTAGCACTCCACATACCTATGCTACACGCTTGGTGATTTCTGGAAAGCTCTGTGCTTCCTAATTATGCACCACATAACATGTCTGTGCACATTTCTGGCCAGGAAATCAAATATGGAAATAGCTGGTAGCCCTAGATGCCATTTTTGCATAAAGAAGCCATGTTCTCTTAAGCATATTCCCTCAAGTTCTCTGGAAAGTCAATAAGCATGTAGAAACTAGTGAGCTGGTCAACACAGCAGTCTCAGATCTCCAAAAACATCTGGCCAGATTCTTCACCAAAAACTCTTAAAGAAAATAAATATTATAAATTTGAAGTTTTATTAATATTTATATAAATATTTAATCTTATTTACAATTTGCAGTAAGTATTTCAAGACTGAAATGAAAAAGAGTGCACCAGTAAGAGTGGTTGGTTCTCATGAACATATTCATACATAATTTAGACAAGATGGCGTATAGCAAAATGAAAAAAAAATGGCCAAGAGTATTCAATTATTCAGAGGGAAAAAAAAAAAAGAAAAAAGTTGACTGTGGAAGAAAGATCTCATGATTCCTAGAGACCTGGTAATATAATGACAAATGAACTCCTGGTAAACGCAAAATACTGCATGTGGAAGAGGACTATACAGCCACAACAAGGGGTCCTAAATTGGCTACCACTCAGAAAAGACATCTGGAGTCACCCTGAGCAGTGTGATGAAAAGCTTGGCTCCGGGCTTGTGAAGGTCAGAGAAGGAAAATGAATGTTAGAAATAATTAAAAATGGATAAGGACAAGAGATGGCCACAATTATGCCATGGTATACATCAGTACTGTGCATTCACACCCTGAGTGCTGCATGTAATTCTGGCTTCTCTATCGCAGCATGATAAAACCAACCTAAAAAAGGTAGAGAAGAGGGGCGGCACAGATGGTCAAAGATCTGGAATACCTTTTATCTGAAGAAACATTAAATAAAACCATGCAAGCTGGAAGAGAGAAAACTGGTGTTATTTGATGAGCCCTGTAAAGTTATGACTGGCTTGGACAAGAAAAACTGGCAGCTGCAGTTCTCTGTGTCACACAATGTCCCACAACGTAAGAATCAGAAAAAGGCATAAAATGAAATCCCAGACAGAAGGTCTGAAGAAGCAAAGCACTTTATGCATAATTAAACTGGAATATATTGCCAGCAGATGATCTGGAGGTCAAAGCTTATGAGATTTACCCCAAAAAAGAAATCAAATTCATGGACTAGAAGTCTATGGCAATGAAACTGTAGACAGTTGTGGCCGATGGTGGCAATGAAGTTCAGAGACAAAGGCAGAGCCCATGACTTAGGAAGCTGAGGCCATGCCAGAGGAAGAAGCTCTGGCCCTGCCCTGCCCTGTCACGCTTTTTCATCTTTCACCAGGAACCCAGCACTCGCCCTTGAGTGTAGGTGGAAAGGTACTTGGGGGCAGGAACATGTAACCCCTACTTTATCCAAAGCCGGACTAGACATCCCACACCAGCAAAAACTTTTTGGGAAGAGATGCTGGCGTGTTGCGATACCCAGGTGCATCCCCATCCCGCTGCCAGCCAGCACGGCCTGCAAGTCCACCTCTTGGGCAGCACCATCGGCAGTGACTGCACATGCCTCTGGCACAAAGCCCGCCCGGCCTCCGCAGGAGCCCCGCGACGCCGAGCCCCGCTGGCTCCTGGGCCACGGCTCCGCTGGCAGCGCGCTCCGAAGCACGACACCGTTAGGGTTCGGTTTTAACCCACACCAGGTGCCCCAGCCTGTCGCGGGCAGGAACGACGGGGCAGAGGGGAACAAGGGGGTAATAAAATGACAGATGACAACCCCGAGAGTTTCAGCAAAGGGGGGGGGGACGGGG